TTTTACAGTATGAATACAATTTCATGCAAACGCCGTTGCCGGTCCAAAGCTCGGTTAAGAAAGGAGGAGGATTGGAGACCGTGGCAAACTCTCCGTAAAAGTTCGCCATCTGCTACTCATGGTGTTGGCGTCATCGAAAATCATACTGACTTAGTCGTCGCCCAGGATACCACGGGCCGCGCAGGCTGTGGAGGACTCAGACAGACTGCGAAAAGTCGGCGATCAGAACCTGCTCATTGCCCTCTGCCAGCCGGGGGCGTAGCACCACAGCATGGCTGATGAAGACCGGCGGAACGACGACGAAGATACCAGAGAGCGACGGAGTCGCTACCCGTCCTGAACGGAGGAAGAAAACAGCGCGTTGCCATTATAGCACGGCAGAAAATTCTCCACAAGAACGACACCGCCAGTGGGAGCTTACAGTCTGAAGTTGGAATATACCCTCAATCGCAGGAAAAAGACAAGAGTTAGTTGATGAGGCGATGAAGTACCAACTCGATATTGTTGGACTCCCGTCAACGAAGCGTTAAAGCTCTGGATTCCTGAACCTCAACGGATGGAAGCTGTTCTACTCAGGCGTCGATATCACGACGCGACCTCAGGCCGGTGTTGATGTTCTCGTAGAACCCAATCTCACAGCTAGAATCATTCATTGGAAGTCTGTTAGCGGGAGGGTGGTAATCCTCCGACTGAATCCACAACAGGCTATGGTACAGGTCAATGCGCATAATTTGGAGGGAAAATATGAGACCTTCCTTGAGGAAGCACAGTGTGCTCTGTCCGAAGCGCCGAATACAGAGTCCCTCATATTCATGGGCGATTTTAACGCGCATGTCGGAACAGACCCTGAAGAGTGGAAGGCGTGATTGAAAAAAACGGCCGTAGCGACCTCAACAATAACGGCATTAAGTTATTGCGGTTTTGTACAAACGGCGGGCTGTCCATTATGAACACCTTCGAGCACCGAAGAGCTCTTCATTTCTCCTGGTACCGGGAAGCTTGTGCACAGAAGTCGATGATCGATTTGATAAGACTGACTTAAGACGCTCAGTAATGGATGTTCGGGTTAAGAGAGGCGCAGAGCCATCAACCAATCATCACCTTGTTGTTGTCACGCTGCGCTGTAAGAAATGTGGTACCATACGAACATCTGGTGGCAGAAGCAAGCGGAGAATCAAATGGGAAACATTGTATTCGGTGGACACGAGAGCGAAATTTGCAAACAACATCTCACGACGGTTTGAACAGATCCCAGTGATGACAATTGATGTGGAAACCGAGTGACAGCTCTTTAAGAGCGGCATAGTCGAGGCTGCCGCCGAATACTGCGGATTTAAACGGGTTGGCCTGCCTCCTGGAGGTCAGAAAAAATCATCCTGGTGGTCACGAGAGGTGCAACCAGTAGTTAAAGAGAAGATGGCAGCGTTCAAGAAATGGCTTGGAAAGCAACAGCCTTCTTTTCGCGTGTGATATGCCCAGGCTCGCAAGGCCGCAGCAAAAACAGTAATGTAAGTCAAAGCTGATTCCTCGGAGAAGATCGATGAGGAGTTGGAGTCGAATTTCCACACGGCACACAAAGTGTTCTTACAGACCATCCGCCGGCTCCGATGTATAAAGAAGGACAGTCTAAGAGTTTCGAAGGACAAGTGTGGACACCCTCTTAATAAGGATGATGACATTCTTGACCGATGGAGGGAGTAGTTCGATGAACTCCTTAACCCAGAGCAACCGCAGCAAGACTCCTCTATAGAGTAGCAGGGGCCGGATATGACTTTCTCTGTAGAAAGTGTAAAGCTTGAAAAATTGAATGACTGCTAGAATTCTTGAAATCCGCCCTCAAGGTATTAGGCGAACAAGTCATGTGCTGGCTTACACGTGTCTGTCAAACTGCGATGAATACGGGAAAGACATCAACGGACTGAAGTACGGGAATTATTGTGCCCCTATACAAGAAAGGGGACCACAAGGAATGCTTGGATTGTAGGGGCATTGCGTTATTAAGCCTCTCAGGTAATGTCTGCGCAAAGCTGCTAGATAGGAGGTGCCGAGGATTAGCTGACCTCAAGATAGAAGAAGAACAGGCTGGCTTCCGGCATGGTCGAAGCACCTCTGACCTTATATTTGCTCTGCGCCAGAATGTTGAGAAATCGTGGCGCCCGTGCGGTGTATATGTATTTTGTCGACCTAGAAAATGTCTATGACTGGATCCGATGCAACAGTCTGTGGTCTGTGCCATCGAGCATATGGAATGGATGGCCAGCTCCTAAGGGCCACCCAGTCACTGTATTCTGATAGTAGGTGCTGCGTAAACTTTTCAACGTTGGCCCTGGTCGGCGCCAAGGTTGCGTCATTTCCTGTCCTCTGTTTGTGTTGTATATAGGTAGAATGGTAGGAGCAGCCAAGCCGATGAGGGTATCGGTGTAGGAGATGTGAAGTCGAGAAGGTTGCTGTTTGCAGACGACCCTGTTTTATTAGCATCTACTGAAACTAATCTGCAGTGCTCCCAAGGAAGGTTCGCAGCCGAGTGCGACGTGACCAGCATGCGTGTGAACGCATCTAAAACGAAAAGCCTAGTAATTTCTCGTTCTCCTGCCCGTTGCTCTCTTCAGATTAACGGAGGGGCAGTAGAGCAGTTGGTGAAGTTCAGGTACCTCGCAACTGTATTTACTAGTGATGGAAAGTTTGAGGAAGAGATCGACCGGCGAATTGGAGTAGCCAGTGGCGTTCTGCATGAACTAGCCCGACCCATTGTGACTAAAGCACAGCGCAGTCTGGAAACTCAGCTCTCGATATTCAAGTCGTTCTTTATCCCCATACTTACCTACGGTCATGAATTGTGGACCATCACTGAAAAACTTCGAACCCTGCTGCTGAAATGGGCTTTCTTAGACGTGTCGCTTTCTTTACGCGTCTCGACATGGTCCGGAATAGTGACATCCGGAAGAGCCTTGGAATACAGCCTTTGCTTCTCGTTGAGAAGTCACAGCTGAGATGGTTTGAGGATGTATGCGAATGCTTCCTGGTTGAATGGCTAAGCAACTGTTTCTTGCGAATCCGACCGGCAGAAGGCCCAGGGGACGGCTAAAATTATCCTGATGTAAATATATGGAAGGAGTCTGTTCCAGACTCCATTTGTCTTTTGCCGAAGCTCAGACTTTGGCACAGAATCGGGAACTTATAGCACAGCTGTAGTGCTATATTTCTCTCATCTGTTTGTTGTCTAAGCAAATGCTTTACTCTTCATCCTCGATGTTTATGAACAGGAGCAAGTATTCCTTGCATACTTAGATTGCATGTAAAGTATAATAAATAGATTCTGCTATTCATAAGCTGTTATTTTAATGTAAATTATGTTTGTTAATCTTTTACGTAATTTCGACTGTTTTCGTTAGAAGTATAAGTGTCTACTAACTAAAAGTTAGTTACTCTTAGGAATGTAAAGACTTGACTGTGAGCACCAGAAGCTAATTATTAAGCGCATATATCCAAAGAGTAGTGGTTACAGCTTTGGTGCGTCATTGCTGTCACCCCACTTCTAATCATCGGAGTTGGCCATCTTCAGTGAGTAGACGCATCCTGACTACCAAACCATGTTTCTGAAATTGCTGTGAAAATCGTGGTCCAGATCAGTTGAGGGGATTGCATATTAAGTGGATGTCGAAACCGAGTTTGACCACATAATGCGTAAATATATGAGTATCCGACCAGTCTTCTGCCCAGCAGAGGCTGACGAAGGATCCATTCTGTCTTTCATTACCAGATTCTTCATCAGTCTTCAAACTTGCTCGAAAAAACGCGTGGTTGCTTACTCGCTCTACATTTTGTCTTGTCCTCCTCTGTCATACATCTGATGTATATTGTGCCTGTTGCTCCCTTTTTAATACCTTGTTTGACTCTTCTTGAAGGTACTTCTGGGTAAATTTGCATTGCCCTAGTATGTAACTTGAGGCAGTTTAAACTAGGTTGGAAAATACGGCAACCTAGTCTCTTGCCCATCAGTGGGATTTGTTTTCTTTAAGTTACGTATCGACGTGTCTAAAAAATTTATGCAAATTGCATACCGATTAGTGCTGAATAAATTTTTAAAACTAAAATATTAAAATTTTTATGTTTTCACTTGTATTGAAGTGAGACGTTTTAATGACTATTTGCTCCC